CATGCAAGTGACTGTATGTATGGTATCCTATGCAAGTAGTTTCGTAACTACTGCTTGAAGCCGACCGTTCACTTAATCGGGTCAACTTCCAACAAGGTAATCAGGTAAATTTCCTGACGCACTTCCAATTTGAATGATAATATGCGTAGTGAGACCACACTCACCACGTAAAGGAGAGGAAGAATTCGCAGGATCATTAAGAATGACTGTCCCATTTCTCTTTATTTCTGATTACAGATTCCTTTTAGACGGACGAAGACTACAGCTTTTGATCTTATACCAGCTATACAATTTTGAAGATCTCACCAATTTGCAGTATCTAGCACATATCCCCCGGAATGCTTATACCAGCTCTGTAAGATGTTGAACCAAAGGAAGTGAGAGGAGATTTACAACTATAAGAGCTACCGCGGTCTCATTGCAGCCTATTACTATTTTCATCGCTGCCTGGTTGGGCCTTTTTACTTCGCCTCGTCCTGTCGAGTTAAGGATGGCTACTTCTTCATATCATTACGACCTGGATTTTCTACTCGCAGCTCAGTCGCTCTTCAACTCCACCGGCTCTGGCTCAATAGATTACAAAAATCCATCACTCATCTCTGGCACAGTAAACAACAGCTAACCCTTTATCTTACGATCGCGCCATATATACACTATAAGATCATGACATATAGATATCCTTATTGTTCCACCAGAGGTGCACCATGGACACCGCAATATACAAATGTTCGATGCTTTACCATCTGAAGAACACGACTCACTGTTGCTTCTGCCTCCTAAGCTCCACTCGGGACACCTAGCATCATATTGTTATCATTGCTAAAAAGGTATTCTGCACGGAAGCTAGCAAAGCTTCATACCCGCGTCAAAAGCGCTTTTGCCTCCTGGCAGTTGTGGGACTATGACTCGTCAAATCTCAAGCGGTAAAAAAGCCCATGACACTACTAGTCGACCCATAGTCTGTGGCGTTCCATCCACTGCATATTTAGAATAATGGTCATATCTCGAGTTTAGGCTCAGTATCAGACAACGTCCTACTGCTTTGAATGTCAAACATAAGCTTGGCGGTCTCACCAGTCTCTTTTCACAAGACGCACGGAAATTGTACCCGTTTTGGACATTCGCGTACTCTTTACTGTTTCTGACAGTCGCACGCTATACGTAATTGCACAACGCTCATGAATCTTCTGGGCTTCACCAAGCATATCAGCAGACATCTACCCTGAGCTGTGATTCCTACAAATTTGAAGAGTCGATGCATAAAAGCTAACCACAACGTCCACGAGGTATAATAGATCCAGCGAACCCAGGCGGTGCTCTTGACAAAGATTGTGATCGCCACCGCCCCCGGATGAGGTTCAGACACCAATTCGATAAGAGTACGTAAGCCCCAAACACAATCTTTTGAACTTTGCCTTCTTGCTCAGGAAGACCCGTGGACGACTCTCTTTGAAGAGTTAGGAAAAGACCAGGTAAGCAACTCAAGCAAAGAATACGCAATATAAATATTTCTTTGCAGGACTTGCGTCGATTGGGTCACATTTACCGAGCATGTTGGAAGGCTCGCGTGTAATCTGTTTCGATACTTCGTGGAACCAGCATGTTGGGAGGCTCGCGTGTAATCTGTTTCGATACTTCGTGGAACCAGCATGTTGGAAGGCTCGCGTGTAATCTGTTTCAATACTTCGTGGAACCAACATCTACGTAAGTAAATCCGTTTAAGAGTACAATATTCTGTCTCATTTTGTGTACAAATTTTCATATCTTGAAGGTTATTAGGTTCTGGAGTATAAGCGTTTGATAATTGATATTTCTAAAGAGGCGGAGCATCAAGACCCTGCTATCAAATCATATTTTGTGATTTCTTATCTCCCATGTCGCTCAGAAGTCAGTAGATTAATGTAAATTTTCCTATTGACAAGATCTGGCCATTACTAACATAAGGTATCCAAATATATTGGGAGCATAGGGAGGCCAATTTACAGCTTTGCAAATTTCCACCAATTACGCGCTTTGAATATCTCACGTAAGGAAAAAAACACTTTTTTCTTTGCCAAACGCCACACCAGGTATGGACACGCCGGTACATGAGATCAACGAGTCGAGTCTTCTGCTGGGCAACGCCACAGGAAATGCGCAGGTATTAGGACTTTCACTCAACTGGGTGGAGACGCATCGCGCTAGCAGTTTATTCATCGCCTTTGGCTGCTGTGTGGTAGCAACGTTGCTAAGTGTGTACAACATTGTTCAGCATTTGGCCCACTACTCACGTCCACAATTGCAGCGTTACATTGTGCGAATTTTAGTTGTTGTCCCAGTTTACGCCATTGGCTCGCTCTTGTCACTTACATTTGTGAATCAGGCGTTGTATTTTGACTCGATTCGTGACTGCTACGAAGCTTTTGTGGTCTATTCATTCTTAGCTCTCGTACTGAGTTTTGCCGGTGGAGAGTCCGTTTGTGTCTTGAAAATGCAAAGTGAATCCGATATTCGTCATCCATGGCCATTAAATCGGTGTTTTTATCCGTTAGGTCGGGATGGAAGACTACTGAGATTATGCAAACGCGCGACAATCCAGTTTGTTTTTATAAAACCCATTTTTGCAGCGTTATCACTGCTCATGCTCGCTTGTGGCAGATATCATACACTAGCGTATCAATTTGTGCTGGCAGTGGTGTATAATTTCTCGTACTCCATGGCTCTCTATGGTATGTATCTCTTTTACCTCGCAACGAGACACATTCTACAGCCATTTAATCCCGTACTCAAGTTCTTTGCTGTGAAAAGCGTCGTGTTTCTCACATTTTGGCAAAATAGTTTTCTTGACCTTATACCTGGAATTACCAACGAACAAACTTTTGCATGGAAAGATTTTATTTTGTGTATCGAGATGGTATTATTTGCACTTCTACACTTGTTGGCCTTTAACTCGAGTCAATTTAAAAAAAATTTGGATCGGCTGCCGGATTCAGAGGTGCTAAATAATATGAAAGAGGTCTTGAGCTTATCCGATATTTTGGCCGATGCCTACCACAATTTTATGCCGTCCTACCGAGAGTACATGTTACAGCGCCCTGGAGGTGAGTCTGGTGGCAGTGCTCGAAAAGGCCAGAACTCGACTGGTCTTGGTGACATTTCTTTTTCTGAAGACAGTCCGACACTTTTAACGCATAACAATGCACGTGCTCCGCGATTCGTTATTGACGACGAGGATGATGACTTTGACGAAATTGACCTCGAGTCGAATGCAATAGCTGTGTCAGCTGAGGAAGCAGCTACATGTACGAAAAAAAGGTTGCAGGAGTTGAGGTTGCCAGGATGGAACGAGGTGACTTGCAGCCACACAGATGTCAGGATGGCTAACCCACAGGATGATGACCACAACAAGACTCTAGAGATCAAAGATGTTGCTTGTGATGAAATAGATATCCATCAGCAACCAGAAATCAGTCTTAATGTCACAGCTGTAGAAGCGTCAGGACGCCCACGATTTGATAACTCTCCTCGTGCTGTCACTGCTCATGAATGCACACAGCTTGGCGAAGAGAGTGCTACTTTATAAAGAAAACCTTTATTATTGTGATGTATTGAGAGTGTGATGGCAAAGAAATGTATGATTTTTTGCTCATCATTCAGATAGACTACGAAAATATGTGTACCTGGCAGTGGACAAGTCGCACAGAAGTTGTAGCCACTCGACTAGTGCTAACGTTTCGACAGCCTTTTGACAAACTCTTTGTGTAGCAAATGGATACTGTCAACCTTATAATTGTGTAATTTATCTTATTGACGATTGACATCGCTTAGTTGTCTGCTGTGACACATAGTCGGGATCTTGATGACAGATTTTTAATCACGGAATACTTCTCGTTTTCTCAAAGATCAAATTTTATGTGGTCCGTAAGCAGTCACGTAGCCCACCTACTTCCCATCTTCTTGAAACGATCACATATCATAGAGTGATAACCAAGATTCTCTGATAAATAAAGGTCAAACTTGTGCGACGAGCACTATCTCTAAGGACCTTTAGCATATACATATGCAAAAAGGCTTGAAAAATGAACTTAACGTATAAAAAGATTGGAGATGATTTGGTAGGTACACCAATGCTAAATATGACGTCGAGACTTGTTTACAGCATCATAGCTTCAGGTATGATTTCAGACGGATCCGTCGTTGGTGGCGGTGGCCGTATATAATAATGGTACTGAAACAATAAGATTGAGTATAGTATATGTTAAGAAGCAGAAAAGCAGATTTTACTCAGAAAATAATATTTCAAGTAATTTTATTGTTGAGATGCAAGGTAAGGTTTCAAGATTTCTTACCACATGACTCGTCGAGACGTAGTGTTTGCACAAAACTATCTGCAATTCTACGTTGAATTGATGAGTAAGCTGCTTTTGTCTCCCATATTAGGCGAGACCTTAATCGTATCGAATCGAATAACTTCATAAAGTTAAATATGTAGCAGCAAAAAGTTTGGTCGAAGCGGGATATTTGTCAGAAGATTCGAGCGGATTATTCGACGGATGTCACGTGATTACCAAAGATTCAGAATGAACATTTATACTAAGAAACTACTTTATGTGGCCATAGCGCAATGTTGCTCTGTATTTTGATTTATCACTATCGCCTTCTGGTAGTAACGCAACACTACACCCATCGATTTACAATTGTCTTTATATAGAAGGAGTGCAATTGGTAACAAATACACAGATATTGGATACTTGAATTGAAGCGTTTATGGTGAATATCGGACAGGAGGAGAATATTTGAGCCTGATTGTAAAATTCCATTGGATAATGTTATTGTAACGATAACATCTCCAAAAGCCGCAATTTCGCGTAAAGTGATTTTGAATTTGATTTTTATCGTGATATGCAATGGGAAATAGATAACGTAATCAGAATTTCTGTAATCATGTTTGTGATACCCACCAGCACCTAAGTTGCGGGCGAGTTACGTTCATTTGAACTGTTCGCTAAGCCATTTCAAGTTTTCCGAATGAGTTACTCAGGCTGATACGAGTATTTTTCCATACTGATGTTATACTGCTAGTCTGAAAGCAGAATTAAACACTGGGAGGTGTAGAATACTTATAATTAGTGCGAATGGAGTTTGCTAGCTCGTTACTCTTCATCTTAGCGTCGAAGCCTTGGGTTTGGCAGGGATAAAAGATATAACGTTACGAGATTAGCACTCAAGAATGAAGCGCACCACTGGTGCACTTTGTTTCTGCTATCTTGTTTGCAAGGCAATTGACATCGGTATACTTTTGTAATGTTTTGAATCTCTAGGTCGAAATGTGTCGCAGTCTAGCTAGCAAACTTATCAAGACAGTGGTTTGTTGCGCATCACGTGGAGCAAGTACGAACAAGTAAGTAAATTTAGCAAATTTATATCACCACATGTAGCCCATCTAAAAACTTCGAGCGGCCGCATGGCTCATCTCGTCAGCGAGAAAAGGTGTAAAGAGTTCTGCACTCTACTATTGTGAGCTTGCACTTTACACTTCCGTACGACTGAGATATTACACTATTGTACAATTGAAAGATTCTCACATTTGCCTTTTGTGAGTATCCTGCAGCAATGAAGTATCGGTGTTAATGTATGAAGACTGTGGAACCTTATAAAATTGAGAGATCTCAACTTAAAGCGCATTACAATTGTTTAATCATATATTTTATGCTAGGTTAAATCTAACCAATCATATGTATGTCACTCGCGAAATTGTAGGTATCTAGCTACTATAGAGGCTCTCGCTTCTGCTCTTGGATGAGCGCACAAACCTAACTTCTGTGCCTTTGTTAGCACAAACTCTGTGCTTGGCAAGATGCGCGAAAATTTCGTTGCACTTTGGACTATCCAACGACAAAAAGCGCGGGAGTCATTATGATGATCTAACACGAGTTGTGCTTGGGTCAGTTCTGTAATCGCTTGCGTGAAGGCGCTTACGATCGATGAGAAAGCGTTGATGAGATCCTCCACAACTGGAGTTGGTAGAGGAACACTCATCTTAAGGCTGTTTCTGCGAAATGTTCAGCCCTTTGATGAAAAGGGCGCAAAAATCTTCATTTTCTATTTAGATAAAAGAAGCTGAGATGGCCAATGTTCGGCTGTGCTTCAGACGGAGCAAGAGCGCGATGCGCTGCGGTCTCCAAGCTAGGAGACCGCACTCAAAAATGGACACTAACGTGCGATACCTCTGTGAAAGAGGATTTTTTGACAGGAGAAGATCGCAGCAAAATATATTTATGTTGTGTGCAACTCTTAACTAGGCGTATCGGGTGCGCCTGAGTTCCTTTTCCACCAGCCAAAAGAGGCAAGAACTAGCGAACTATGCTCAGGAGTTAGAAGTTTACATTGCCGCACTGGCTTCAAATGTTCAAAAAAACTCACAGTTTTCATTTCATGAGGGTTCCCCCGACAGGCGTGACGCGCGCCGAGACCTTCTGCGTTCAGGATTCCACTTTTGAGAAGGTGGTACATGTCGCAATGAGTTAAAAGAAAAGCTTTCATGCCGCGTATGTCGTATGAGTATGCGCGCCCCAGAAGCGATGAATATTAGCAATGGTGATGAGGAAAAGAGAGAATCCTCGGCTAATAAGTATCTTCGCAATAATTTCCAATGTTTTATTCATCAAATTTCAAGTAGCTGCGGCAAGTTCCTTATCTGCTAAAGGGTTTGAAGGGTTGAGCTTTCACGCAGAGACGTTCGACGAACCACTTTGCAGGGCACGATGAGTCCTACAAGGCGCAGGTCTGTGGTTTAAAAAAATAGTCATATTCGTACTTGATGGAGGTCGTGGTCAATGTAACTAGCCCTAAAGAGTTCGAATTTCTCTAAATGGCTCATAGCCCACGGTTGCTGGTTGTCAATGTCTCGGGATTACGAGACCAAAAAAAGTTCTGATAGATTCATAAGCATCGTTACTTATGAGAGACGCGCGACTGTAAATTGAGACCTGTACGCGGAGACATTGGAGCTGCCAACATATGATTACAATATCCGAGTCGCATACAAAGAGGACACTGATGAATCCCTCAAGGCTCTGTTCAATCTTTCTGTGAAATTTGAGAAATTTTGACAACATCGTATGCCGTACCGTCATGAATTAAGATGTGATCCTAAGAGCTGCGTGACTTTAACGCCATGAGTTATGGATCAAATGGAAGTTTTATAAGGTAGGTGCCACCCACTTCTCTCCTGGCGGACCTTTGTTTAACGGTAAACCCACATTAGATGCTTCTATGCAGAATCTGAATTTGTCCAAAATGTCAAGCAGTAATACTGTTAATGACTTAGTGCAATGCTCGAACGTTACAAGCGACGGCAAGCCACGGTACTTGGATGAGACGGAAAGATGCGATCGTATATCACGGTCTATAAGGCGTAAATTGTTGAGACTATGAAGAACGACTGTAAACGGAAGAAATCTCTGGAGACATTTCGTTTATTCACAGCCGGAAGATGCTAGAATTAGTGAATAGTGGATCAACTGGGCGTTGCAGTCATCCGTACCAGAGCCGGTGGGAGTCGACGGAAAATTGTAGTTCTAGCAGTATGATCAAACCCTGACAGATTATGGATGCCCCACGATGTGACGATTCTGCTGAGTTAGCACTTCCGAAAGATTGACCACCGTGTGGAGCAGTGAGAATCTTCGGAGGAAGGTTTTCGTTAGTGATTATAGTGATCGGGAGTTGACCGGAATTTTTTTGGATTAATCTCGAGCGATTATTTCTGGGGGTGAACATCCATATAATTCTGGTAGCCGGAATTGTACGGTTGGTTTATCCAGCACTACTATGAATTTGTCATCGAGAGCACACTCGTTGAGCACTGAGTGAGTGTGATGGTGTGGCAATCTTAAGGTATCACACAGGTACTTCTTATCCTTTGTTAAGAGAGCTTTACTTTGTGTCACCGAGAGGTCTTCCAAGTGTACCACCAAGGATTGAGGAGCGCGTCATTAGATTGACTCGGTACCCGGAACTAAATATTTCGTCGTACGGCAATAGCCCTTACTGAGGGGACAGGGCAATGTCATTCATGCTATCTTGTTGAGAGAGTGTAAATGTTGCCGCACGGCCGAGATCTCTGGATCAAAGTATCAAAGGCAATAAATGAGTTGTGTATGCATTAAATAAGCTAATAAAACTGCAGCCACGATTGTGGCTGAAACGCCGATGCCTGGAAAGCCTGTGCTACTGAATCGCCAATCGGTAGCAATGTTCATAGCGCCGTTGCAGACTGCCATGATCTCCCTATCACTATACTCCAAGCAGGAAGCTCTAGTATTCGCTTGCTATGCCACAGGAGCTATCTAACGCACTAACGACGTCATCGTCAGGTGACGCAGCTGATAGATCATATCGTGGTAATGCACAAGTCCAATTTGACAGCATATTTGCTCACAGTCGTCAGAGCACATGGCTTAGAATATGATTAATCATGTCCGGCTCTTGCGAGCAATGATCAGATATATTTGTCTAAACCAGCCGTTCACCAATTCAGATAAATGTGCTGTTGGTACCAACGGGGTGCCTGTTTGTATTATTGGAAATTATGTGATATGAGCTGATTTTGCAAAGATTAATTAGCTAGTCTCTCACTCCTGAAGGACATGAGGATGTTGCTTAGACTACTAGCACAAATACTTGAAAATATTACGTATGACACGACCCCTCCACTCATATAAAAAATCCTTAACTGATGTTGGGGTGCGGTGGACAAGACGGCTAATGCGCTTATGGAAGCTCTTTCCTATCACCCCCGACTATGAAATGTCGTATGTAACATTGTTGACGTGATCAATTGATAAGGCAATACGTACAGCGTACTAGTCACTCGCAACGTGTATTACACTGCTAAAACTTTGAAAAGCATGGATGTTGAGCGAGTGCACGGCTGCACGCCTGCACCAATGTGCCTTATTCCAAAGCTTGCTTCATTAACGCATTTACTTAAATGACACAAAGCGTATATGGTATCTTTTGACGAAACCCAAGTACAGAATAGTGTACGAGGTTCGTGATACTATATTACGAGGCCACTTTTGATTAAGAAATACATACTGCTTGGTGAGTTCTATGTATCAGAGGCCTGGCACGCATAAAAAATTCATGAGCATGTGTATCAAGTAGCAACGTGTTGTATTCTCGTTGCATGATGCGGCGCCTTGGCCAACCTGCTGATATAATTTAGGAGTGCTGATAGTGGCCTTTTGAAAGACGCGTCCGGTAGTACAGACCTTGTTGTTTCAGCGGACCGTCTGATCAAGTTGACTCCCTTGCCACTAACAACCATACCGACCGGTAAGATTCCAGCCAAGACGCCTGCATTACCAGCATGATGTGTATGTATCTGTTCTGTTTGATTGACATCCGGACTTTACAGCAAAGGTTGAGCAAAGGTAGAACATCAATTCTGACATGTCAAACCTGGCTTCCCCAAGCTGTTTGCCATGTGAGACGACGTTTTGCCGCACCTGGTGCGCAGATTGCCGTCAATATTTTTGGAGCTTTTGTCAGCATTTAGCACCCAACAATGCGATCTCACGAAGCGATCTAACAAGCAAAAGCGGATTAGTGAGGAGTGGGGTTACATGAGATGTAAGAGTGCGCTCGTGGATTTACGGACGAATTGTCAGCGAAAACCTTTTAATAGAGTGTGGAGACATTATCTAACGCTTGTACGCGGATAGAACGTCATACTGGCGCTAATTGTTACCACCTATTAAGTTTGCGATAGGTCACGTAGTGAATGCTGTTATAGGATTTGTCCTATCTCCTGAAGATGTTTAGTTACCTTTTGGTTCTGTTGACAGCGCCACGAATTCGACTTGACTCGAGGAAGGGACTGTCAATCAAAATTCAACTCACTGATATCAACCGCATTACACCTCATATGGATATCACAAAATTTATCTCGATGATATTGAGCGTCTTGCACCGAGTGCGGAGCGCAATGACTAAAATGATTCTTTCTATGAGAAATGAAGTTTATTGGTCATTGAGATGGAATAGTAAAGTCATGTTACGCTTTGATGAATGACAGGCCGTCGACCAACTCTATGCGACATAGTACTGTTTAAAAAACATGCTTTATGCCAAGCACGATCTTATATTTATCTGCCTCGCGGCGAAAGCCACTCTTCTAAGCCAACAACAGTAGACGAAACGTACATGAATATGTAGCGAGTTAAAAGAAATTAAAAACTGCAAGCCTATCTATCAATCATTTTTCATGTTGAGTTTGTGCCACATGTCCCGGGCGCACGATGCTATGGCTAAGATCTAGGATGTACAAAAGCAGCATGCTGATGCGAGAAGCAGGTGGAACACGCCCAAATATGCTGTTTGGTAAGAGGTTGTGCTTAATGTATGCATAATCAGTGTCTACGGTTTATGGGGATAAGTGCGATCACGCCACATCTGACCAAGTGAAGAATTGACTGAGTTATATACTGTGCATCTCAAAGAGAATACAAAACAAATTGTATTCGACAAAGTCGTATCAAAATTACAAAATCATTTCACTCTTACGAACCAGTCAATTGTGAAGGGTTTTGTTATAACCGGAGTAGTGTCTCGACCATCCTTTGTAGCTGAGCTACCCTTTGATTAAGAGCGGTGACGCAATTTGAATTTGCTGAGGGCCCGCAGTGCGATAGCGTAGCTTAGATAGCGCACCCACAATGTCATCGATCTCTGATGTAGTCGCACTCAAAAATTTTCGGAGAGAAGTGACATGCCACCATTACCGGGTGTGATCAACGCGGCTGGGTCATTCTCCACCGGTGCTGTTTGATGAGCAAGGGCTTGCCAACTTTTAAGCGGAGCGTCTAGTGGGCCGTTATGTACTTCTGGGCTGTTACTTATGGAAGGTATATCCTGACTTAACCAATGACTAGATGCTGACATTTCACTTTTACAAGATTACCTGGTACCCTGGCGACGTCAGCCCATAATAAATACAAAATTATTACAAAACGTAGATATAGTATCAGAACAAAAAGAATACGCCTCAATATATGTCACTTTTGACAGCAAGCATACCTAGCTAACTAGTGCTTGAAGAGGATCCCATTTCCGCTCCTGGGTAAAGCATGCAAACCAAACTATGTGCATTTTTGAGCGCGGACTTTTCGAGTCAAGATTTTGATGTGCAATGTCCGTGGGACCCGGTGCGAAGCTCCATACGACCACGTCATATCGATGAAACCAGTAAAGGTAGTGCACCGCAAAGGTACTACCACTAAGACGGCACTGGCGGTGATAGCAAAGATGCTGCACCCAGCGACTTAACTATGGTCAGACACCAGTCCGGCGCTGGAAGCATAGGAGAATTCCGTGAATTAAATGTGAAGCTGAACTTATACAATGCAGCTAATTTACGCAAGCTACTCAATGTGTACATCCCATCCTCCAGGATGTGATTCAAAATGCATCTCGGCAGATTTTATGACCTTGTCCTTGTCTGACAGCCGTGGGTTAGAGCGAGGAGATGAACTTCAAAACATTATCGCCAAATTATCGCGCGAGGATTCGCATCATTGAGGCATGGCGCTTTTTTATGCAAACGACATGCCTTGGATTTGAGATGAATAAGATCCTGAAGAAAAGGTGGATGCATTTCTGGCGCCAGAACGTGAGTGCTGATTGACCTAGTGGGAATTATCATCGTGGTAGAGGCACACGGCCTATTAATGGTAGAGAGAAGACCCGCTATGGATAAGAGTTACTCAATAATTTCAACGAATTTGCTTTGAGTATGACACTTGGACAAACGTCCAGCATAGATAATGGAAGTGAGGACAGGTATGGGTTTTTGGCAACCAGTGTTTTTTTGTTCACACTACGGACGGCAATACAAGTTCTTAATGGCAAAAAATGTCGTTACTTTATGGAGTATCAAATGCTCATGACCTAAGTCAAGATGAACTCATTTCTATACGCCAGTCAACGCGAGTCTTAGATTCAAGCTTCTACCTCACAAAGTGCGAGGCAATACTGTTGCACGTCGGAGCGCTCGTCGTTAAATACGACTACTGGATGAGCTTGCATCCTATGATAAGATGAAGAATTTAAAATGTTTGATTTTAGAGAATTAAAGATAGTCTATCCGGAGAAAAGAGCATTGGGATGGTATAGCTGCCTCAGCAATAATGAGTGACATTCTCCCCATGTCGAGCGCTCAAGCTTCAAAGGTTTGTGGTGAGCAAGGTTTTGCACTCGTGATTGAAGTAATGGTGTTGTTTAAGCTAATGACGAGCCAATCCCTGGGCTGGAGAAGTTATTTCTTGAGGGTGTTACAAGCCTAGCCCGTCATCAATCAGATATAAGTCCGGCAGTAAAACCACTGAGTGCAAAAAGTGGAGTTGTTGTTCTTGAGGAGACTACAAAGATTTTTTCCTGTCAAACGAGTATGATGATGTGGCGACGGGAAGTCACATTAATTGTAGTTTAGCTGTTCCTCTGTCATAAAGTTGCGCTTTACTCCACGTCGATGTCAGTGTGCATGGGCGTGCCATTGCGTGTTTTATTTCTTGTTTCAAGCGACGAAAAAACACGATCTTTTTATAGAAAAAATAATATATTATATATCTACGTCATGTCCAAGATACAACTGCATAATTCAAAGACATTTGTGAATTATACAGACCGCGCTTCGTAACACAGCGACGTCATCAAATTATCACCTTTAATATGAGTTTTCTGCTTCGCCAAGAAAAAATCGAGGGCTGATGTTGCGATGTTCTTTTTCGTCACCTAGACTATGAATCAATCATATGTCGCGATAGCTATTTCGCATTGACGATTCCATACGTACGACGTGCAATTCAAAAAGAGCATTCATCACTCTGCGAGTAGTTTGGAGAGGTATATAGCTTTTGAGAATGAATGTCGCTTGACGTAGCATACCAAAACGCGTTTTCAATGCTTATCGTTGTCGCCAAAGCTTGCTAAATTAAAGCATGAACTGTTTGTCACACAGCATTTAGTGGTAGCTTATTATCAGAGCTCTAAGTACTCGGAGCACATCGTTTTCCGTCGAGACGTCACCTCGGCTGAAATAAGAGTGAATACAGTGTATTAATGACCCAAGATATCGGTAACGAAAGGTTCTAAGGTACGCTTGCGCGAATGTGTCAGCAAAATAACTCGCCGCATGCATCACCGCCATCAGCCAGTATACTGGTACCGGTTATCAAGATGCATTGAGCTTATTTGTGGCTCGCCGAAGACGCCTTCGGCAAACCGGAATTGTGGTCTTTAATGATCGTTTGAGCAAACCGATTATTTTAGTGCTGCTAGTGACACTATTAACGGTGCGGATACCGTCACGCTGCTTTGCGACAAAGCTTTTTAGTCAACATGGCTTGCTCGTGACCTATTCCAATGTTGGGCTCTGCACTTTATGGCAAACGTTATGACAACATTGTTCAGGCTAGCTGACTCCATGTTTCAAATGTCTACGACACATCATCCCAAACCGAATGCGCTAATTGCGTGGCGGAGGGTTTCTTTCGAAGCACATGCGCGAAGCGACAGCTGAATAGCGCCACTCTTTCAAATGCGTTGCTTTATTTAAATGTTTGTCTGATGTCGTGTCCCGTATACATTCCAGTGATATGGTTGTGGTCTTAATGAGAAAGAAATTGTCAAAACTGAGATATCAGCCCCGTGATACGATGTAACGAAAACGACGGTTCATCTCGACGAGGTTATGCGTCTTGCGTCAACTCCGCAAAGCTCTACTTAAAAGCCAATAAAAAGAAACAGTATGCGGATACCAAAGCAGAAAATCTTGTGACTTTTGTGTTGGTAATAAGCCTTGATAGTTGTTGTCAATGGACCAACACATGCAACGTTGTAGTCGCTTAGGTGAAGTTACCTCTAAACATAATTGGGCTTCCTAAATTTGTACAATCGAAAATTCACTAACATGGCGTTACTTTTCAACCACTATCCCATTTGCAGAAACGCTAAAGGCAAGACCATCTGATTGGGAAAAAAACGTCTCGATAAGCCCCCTGTTGCTTCACAACATCACAGTAAAATGCAGCGATCCACTCACAGTGCCTCAAGTCAATATGATAAATCTATACAGCGCTGCAACTGTATTTGAAAGCCGAACTGTCCGTATCGAAAGCAGGTTTTGACTCTTTTAGAACATCAATACACCATTACAATAGTACAACTTCGGTGAATCTATTCAAGTAAGATTCAGTGCGGTTTGGTACGCTACCATAAATGGATCCACGTTCTACTGAAAGCTGAAGGTGATTGGAATAGAAAGTTCCGCATCCGAATTATTGGTTAGAATGGGATCGCATTAAACACAAAATACGTTGGCATTCTGTTTGGGATATTGACAATGTCACGCAATCACTTGCTGTTTTGACTATGAAGGTTCAAGGTATTGAGGGCACAACTCGGTATCCGTACTACGGACAGATAGGCTGATACTATATATAAAGATGCTTCATCGATGCGCGACGCCTAAATCGTGCATGCGACTGTCCACAGTTCGGGAGACGCAAAAAACATCCTCGAAAGCAAAACTCTCTCTGACATGAATTGGATAGTTCTTCGTTGCCTATTTGATCCAACCAAGTCAACCATTATATGTTTTTGGCATCTTTCTTGTGTATTATGTCAAAAGTCGAAGCGTCACAGTCGACATGAAACGGTCAGTTCCGATAAAAATAGGGCATTAACGGGGCATTGATGAAATCTTCCTCTACGAAGGTGAAATCCGCCTCTTCTGGCCCAACCTTATATGGACGAGGTGGTTGACGAAGGATCGCGATATGTAAGCAAAACTCTCAATTGACTTTGCAAGTAGTTGGCCAGTCCACACCTTTTTTTGTAAGCCTGTTGAACATTGGAACTGGATATTATACGATAGATTTCGTAGCTGCGGTATGTATTTACATAATTTTTTTACTTTGAGGCAATTCACAAAGAGATCAATTATGTCCACACACGTACAATCAAGCACTGCTCGCGAGTCTTTGGTGTGGATGTCCACAAATGATTCTGCATGCTCTGCATGAGTATGGAAGAATGTATTCTCGGAGTGGATTAGTTGCATAGGCACGATGTGACCTGAACACTGGCATCACAAATAACTGAACGTCACCAGTGTATTAGGCAATCCCTGGGGCATAGCCGTCCACTCTATCCCGCTCAGATAATCTACCGCAGTAAGATGGATATTAATTTCTCTTTAGAGCAGTTGACAGCAAATATCATTAAAAACAACGGTACTTATCAGTATCAACCAAATATGCTGTTCGGCAGTCAATTCGAGAATGTGGTGTCTAGTCGCCGGCACTCACAAGTGCCTTACATAGTCACTTGCTGTAAGTCTTGTCGACGGCAAATGGATACATCTTCTCCTTTTCATTTAATCCACCATCATGTGTTTGGCATAGAAAACAGCGTCGATGACGCCACGCGTCATGTTAAAGCAATCGACATTGGACGTAATTCTGAGAATCAAGTCAGGTTCATGATACATTCTTCAGTCAGAGGGCAACGCGTGATGGGAATCTTGTTACCGCGTGTCATATTCGCTCAGCAATAAATAGAGAATATCTGTTCTTTAGGATAGCTGTCTCGCTCCTCGATTTTTTTTCTCTTCAAATGCTTTTATTAACGATTTCTCCATGTCGAATAACAAGCTCAGATATTCCTCAGGAATAAAGCGCAAATTGGAGGGTCACTGCTCCGTAACTTTTAATAAAAAATCCTAAAATCGTTTTGAGCACAACGAACGCTTTTACCAAAAGAGACGAGGCAGGGCCTGGCCCTTCAACTTTCCACTTACGGTTGTTCTTACTTAGCACCAGATTTACCACATGCCTCAGTTTACAGCTGTTATTATCCGCCTTACAAATCCTAGGGACCACGTCAAGCCGTCGACTAACCCTGTCTTGGCAGTGATTTACTTAATGACTATGATACGCTCCCAACTTTCTATCCCATTCTGAAATTGCGGCTTACTAAAGGTTCTGCCTATCAAGCTCTGATCCAGACTATGCTTGATATTTAGCCAATATAATGTCCTCCATAGAAGTTATCGAAGTATTGTTCCTGAACAAAAAGCGCTTGTACTTAGCAACTCAGATTGCCAGGAGGAAAGTACATGGTACTTAACTCTTTGCCTTCCAGTCGATCCGTGGCTCATAGCGTTCAAGCCATGTCATATCTAGGATTAGACTATATTATAAATTTAGGTACAGCAATTCATGTTGCCAAAGATCTCAAAATATATCGAAGTTTTAAGAGAACTTTGCCGCTTCCACTATTGTCCCGTCGCTAGACCCACGAATACAGCGTTCACACATTTGGCATCTACGATGCCTCCACGTACTGGCTACAGTTTGTCAGTTGCGCGTCGTACGAAATTAAGCACTAATATTAGAGATATAAACAGGCTAACGGCTTTTTGCAAAGCCCGAACAAAGCCCGAACAATGAAGCTGACAATCATAAATTTTGAGCTATGTGCCCCACATCCTTTATATCAGTCGCCCTTGTTACGACTGAGTGTCATTGACGTCGACCTTCACGATGTACCTGTGAGAACAGTTTCTTTCTAGTCACTAAGCTCTCGCCTGTGGGACTCGACGCTTTCACGCGACGGTTTTGTTGGTCGACACTGCGTGGGGGATTGGCCTTGGTGCCTTCGAATTTATGATAATGGGGCGACTCCGAGCGTATGTGTTTGGTACTACAACATATGTAGCATCTGCAGAAATCTTCTTAGCAGCTTAAAAGTTAATTTTTCCAGCTTAGCTGAGATTTATCGTCTCTATCGCTTTCATATATTCTACTCTGACCAAACCTCGCAGAACATACGAAGTTCTGATACCCATTCTTTGGTTTCCTCGAGTGTGATAAAAACAGCCACCGCTTCTTTCGAGGATGATAAAAACAGCCACCGTTTCTTAAAAAGCCTGCCGATTTTAAAAAACCAGCTCGATCTCTTAGGATGCGCTTAGATTGACGATGTCAATTCCCGCGACATCTGTTGCTTTAACGCTTTCCATGGGAGGTTGCCTTTTTTAAGAGGTATTGCACATAAAACTCATTTCCTCGCGCGGCAGACTATGCGCAAAGAACGATATCACGACGCGTTATTGCTCCATGGAAATTATGGACCACCTTTTTTGCTAGGACGTTTGGCGCAAGGGGTCTTACTGTGAGACTCCATCGGGTCTCCTGGATTTAGTGTTTTTAGAGGTGCCTCGCCAGCCTAATTTATAACTGGATTGCGCCTTCAAGCGGATGATTGACTACCAATGCTGGCCCTCCGACTATCAATTGATTTATTCTCTCGGGACCAAAAAGCAACTTATGTTTTTATGTGACTTGTTGTCTTGAGGGCCGATAGATATTCAGTTTGTATAGAGGTTGTAGTCGTATTAAGACTCGGTCGCTTAATTTTCACCAGATGCAACTGGGCGCAGTGCATCTCGCGCAGAGGAAGATTTGACGATTATAGCTTGCATATATTATACGCAGAGGATAATTTCGTACGCTTCATCCAAAAGCGTGGCCAGAAGCTTTAAAGGTTACTGACTACTTAGTTCATTCGAGGTAGTACATGTTCGGAGTTTGGGTGAGCTCAACTTAACGATAAATTTTCGGTTTCAATACTTGAGGAAATACAATGTAAGTATTGCGATGGGAAAATTGGATTTCATTAACTTCCGATAAGTAAGTATTGCGATGGGACCGCCGTGCAGTTTGTCGAGAGGGATTTTGACGTTCACAGTACATATGTACAAGCGCACAGAAGATATGTCTGTGCGCTCCGCTCAGGAGGGGAATAAGGAATCTTTTAGGGAGCTTTGAACGTCAGTCTGCGTTGCACTTTCAATTCTAGATATCGGATCAATGCTACTGACACTAATACTTATTATAGACGTTTTACTATCCCTTATACAAAAATATCCTTTTTTCTGACTTACGGCTAACAGCCCAGATGTACACGTACTTCTGTTTCTCGATGTCCCATCATCCTCATCAATATTATTTCTCGGGAGCCTGTGAATATTCATAATTCTCACCAAGTGTGGAGTAATTTTGTCTCGTATGATTGCACCAAATGTGTAAAAATTGAACACACAAGATTACGTTGCTTGTTCATATACACCTTTCCCACTATACCCCTTGGCCATACTTAGGCATATTTATCTCCTTGTCTCACTACACAAAGTCGAGCAACCACTGAACCCGGAGTTTCTACTATGTTCCCTATACTAGACTGTGCCTGCTCTTCATAGCATAGTAGCATCAGGAGTCCGTTCTGTGTACCAAATTAATTGCCTAAGCGGACCCCCACACTAAGCGCGGTCGTTGAGATCGGTGTGCCGGAAGAAATTCTTGATGAGGTTGCCGAGATGACTTCCGGTAATGAGCTCTCTATTAAATCTGTGAGTCTTGACCAAACATTTCCGTCCTCACCCGACGACACAAGGCCTCGCTTCTTTGAATAGGGACTTACTGCGCTCAGTCTTTCCGCAGTGTAAGTCTAGGACTCTGTGTCCTTTTTCAAAAGCTCGAAAAATTTAAATACCTTACCATGAAGCTCACGATAATGTCCAGCTCGACTGCACCCGACTAAAATAGTCCAGCTTACTGAGCTGCATGCGCAATCGTCACGCCAGCTCTTGCTCACGCCACACTTCGTGAGTACGGATTTGAACCGTTCGAAGCCGCTCATTGCGCTAAAGCAAGCTCCAACGCGTCTATTTCTATGGTCCTTCAGCTCACGTTTACAACAAAACGAGTGCAAGAAAGCTGCTCCCCAAGTGCTTGTTTATCCACAGAAACTCTCTTCCCAGGATTACCGTTTGCTCTTGATGAAGCGGTGGTTGAAATTTTTTCAAAGTCCCATGGAAAATGTACCTTGGATACTAGATGCGGACGTCGATGTGACGTTTCATCATCTCCGGTTTCCTGCTGTTTACAGCTCATGATTCAGCTGTAACAGCTACCGATTAAGGATCTTATTCCTGCAAGGTTGGTTAACTTTCACTATTAAAGTGCGATGCGACGGGCGATTCTGCAATTGACTATAAAGACCAAGAGTGCACTAAGTGGAACCACGAACTTATAATTCATCGTCTGGAGTAATCCTTCTATTCCATCGCGTACCAGTAGCATCCATGATGAACTGGTAGGCCCCTTTATTAGCAAACCATCCCTTGCTCATCAAACAGTGCCGGCTGAGCTCCACCCTACCGCGACTTACTCTCTTGGACTCAAGTAGTTGTACCGACACGTCAGCTTTACCCAAGCGTCACGGCGTGCGCTCGAGGACGAAAGGGTTTGATTACGGATTTGCTTCCGGGCTTTGCCATTGCGCTTCCTCGTTTGAATTACGTCCAAAAGCTCCAAACCGCGTCATGGCGCCATCTGGCGTTGTCAATTGCATCCGGAGGTTTTTAAATCGTTCATAGAATAGAATGAAGCCTGTAAGGACATGTACTGCTTTATTACCACAGACTTAATGGAACGGAGCAACTCGTTCTCTACTACTGCGGTCTTCCACCGTTGGTTGGTGGAAGCGCATGCGTCACCAAGTCGAGATATGAATAAATGGTTTACTCTGGTACAAAAAGCATCATCTCAAGCACGATTCGTGTACTTTATGTGATCATCTCTTTGCGAATGGTCAGCGGGTGATCTAATTGATCTGGTGTCGAAAATGATTTCATGTCTGTTCAAAATTCGCTGTAAAGCGCATATTCATCCAATATAATGGATACCAGTGATCCATATCGTCGAGAGCCAGCTTGGCTTTATACACATTGGTTACACTCTTGCAGACCGTTGCAGGATGAGCGATTGTGCGCTCATAATCCACAAAGATCACAACACCAGTATTTACCAGACGCGTGTTTTGACAGTCGGATGAAGTCCATACTTATGGACTGCCAGCACTCCATCGGAGCCGACAAACTAGCCAAAGACATTACCACATGCGGGAGAAGTTATTTCTGTCAACAAGTTTAGCACGTGCACACTTATGAGATCACCAACACTTAGTGCGAACAATCTGCATGCTTTTCTCGTCCAAAAAGGCCCCAAAGGAGTATAATACTCCAGGAACGTTTTTTGTAAATAGGCACCATTAGTGTTGTGATACAGCAAGCTTTGCTAAATGCCAAAGCAGTGCAGACGTGCAATCGCGCACTTCGTTCAAGCGACATCTGAGCTCTCAAACCCACTACTTCCTAAATTTTCAGCCGCTCAGCAAATTTTGTCTGACGCTTACGTCGTACGTATTCTCTCGTCATGAGCTGTGCGCAACGACGCATGATCCTTTTAGATACAATACCGGCTTAAAGTCAAGCAGGGCACCCTGCACGTGACGGGGCGTTTGCTGATTAATGTACTCGAATATCGCTCGCAAGCGTTTAACGTGTTTTTCCATATTTGACTTTTCGTGTTCTGCACGATTATGGACAGTTTGCTCATGGCTATTTCGTGGTCTGATTAGCTATCACCACACCGAGTTCAGACTTCTATATATTAGTACCAGACTCAATTCCAAAGTTTTTTGGTAAAACAGGACAATTTAGCGAAATGAAAATAGCAGATCTATTATTCGAAATGCACCGCAAGCTCAATATGAATGCAAAAAAATCTTCACAATACTAAAGATACCTCCGACGCGAGTTTGCTATCGCGTGTTCGGGTTTATTATCAGCCGTGCGTGAATATTTATGACCCGAGTACATGCTGAGGGATAAGGATAAATCAAATTTAGCTGAAGTGAGGCAGTTTTTCATGCTTTTGGTGACAGCATTCTATTCATCATCCACAACTTCTATTTTCCAAGAATTTTGTCTAGATAGTCAAAGCTGTTACGTCCACATCCATACTGCCATCACGGTCTGTTTTGTAGCGTTATCGAACCAACATACCGAACACGTAATGTTGAACTAAACTAGCCTTGTTAAAGTACTTGTAGTAATTTTCTGACAAATACTTCCTCTGTCCGAAAATATAAGCGGTGCTGCGGGGATTGACCAATATTAAGCTCAAATTTGACCTTTTCTGCTTGCTTACTGGCTAAAATTGACGGGTCGAGCCTGACAAGTCGATTGGTGGTTCTCGTGCGAGTTTTTGTTGAACAGAGCCAAAGTTATAACGGTAAACGCACAGCCGTCAAACCCCATTTCGGCTTTGACTCTTCGCCACTCCTTGTGATGGGGTCTGACGCTACTTCTGTGGCAAAGCCACGAAAGAATATCACCCCGCCCGAGCGTGCTGAGGTTATCGCTTTCCTCCTGCGGGTCAGCATTGAGCTACGCCCGCCTCCAGGCGCGATCGGCTCCAGCGCGACTAAGTATGGATGTAGTACTGACCAGATTTCGCGATTGTGGCGCCGGACTACCAAGGACATCAAAGCAGGAGAGCCGATCAACTACAACAGCGGCAGGAAGGGAAAGAGTGGCCGCAAGACGCGTTTAACGCCGGAGTTCCGCCACGCCCTCAACGACGCCATCGAACTTATCCCGCTAGAAGACAGGTCAGATATTCGTACTTTGGCGAATACACTCGGTATTCCAAAGTCTACGCTGCATGACTACTTTCTCGCTGGAGTATTTCGTTGTCACACAGCTCGCGCCAAGCCGATGCTTACTGACAAGCAGCGTATCGATCGAGTCAAATTTGCTGCTAGTTTTGTGCAGCGTGGTCCCGGTGTCTGTATTCGATTCGACAGTATGATGGAATACGTACATTTAGACGAGAAGTGGTTCTACTTGAAGAAGGACAAGCAACGGTTCTATCTTGGAGAGCACGAAGAGGAGCCCTACATCACCGTGAAGAACAAGAACTACATGATCAAAGTGATGTTCCTTGCGGCAGTGGCTCGCCCGCGATGGTCTGCGAAGAATCATTGTATTTGGGATGGAAAGATCGGTGTGTGGCCGTTTGCTGTTTATGAGCCTGCAGAGCGATCCAGCAAGAATCGAGCGGCTGGGACTTTGGAGCTAAAGACATACACTGTCGATCGCGACATTTATCGACAAGCGCTTTGCCGGATGGTCATACCGCGCATCAAAGCGGTATGGCCATCAGGCAAGCGGGTCGTGCTGCAACAGGATAACGCCAAACCGCACGTCACGGTTGATGACCCCGAAGTGCACTCTGCGTGCTCAGCTGGCGGCTGGGATATGAAGCTTACCGCGCAACCAGCCAATTCACCGGATTTCAATGCGAATGATCTCGGGTTCTTTGCTTCACTGCAGTCGTTGCAGCACAAAATGAAAGCTAAAACTATCGAGGATCTAGTCAACAACGTGGACGACGCTTTCGCTAAACTCCACTACACTGCTCTCGACAAAGTTTTTCTGACGCTGCAGTCAGTACTGCAGGAGACAATGCATATCGACGGATGCAACAAGTACAAAATCCCTCACCTCGCCAAGGACACGCTACGAACGAGCACTGGTTTGCTACCACCTTCATTGACATGTAGTGATCGAGTGTACGATAAGGCCAGACGTTTCTTAAGTTCGGTTGGGCAAAAATAAAAAGTCAAAACCGTACTTAGGCTTATATTTTCGGACACGCGCAGTAATAGACACCAGCTTATATTTTCGGACAGAGGAAGTATCTTTTTTAAATTCGCCTCCACCAATCGTAGGCCATATCTTAAAATTTGCATGTATCTATATACCTCCGATCATGCTTTCAATAGTAGAAATTAAACTGATTAACGGTGAGCGACCTGGGATAAAACTCGAAGGTGTGCAGGGGTGCTTGAGGAAGTTGAAGGAAATTCCCTTCGCAGTGCTTTATAGAATGACATATTGCAGCAATATACATAGCTGATGGCATCAAATTTCCTGCCTTCCGGCTTCAGCGTTGTCTTAGCGCACACACCCATCAAGGGAATGGCGTAGGGTTCAGAACGATAAAGCTTTTCATCTATGCTTGCTTCTAAGATCTAAATATATTAAGTTCCATTGTAACTAGTACGAACAATTAAAATAGATATTTTACCTTGGAGTTTGTATGTTTGGTATATCGCTGATATATCAAAAAATGTAGCTAAAATAGTTGAATTGGTGGGTCGACATCTGAAAAAATACTTAGTATTATACTTGATAGCGTCATGGCTTTCAGTGTACAACTATGACGGTCATAAAAAGAGTGATCAAGATTTCGAACCGCATGTTGCCACACCGTGATGACGCATTTATCGTCGCGAAAAGCACGACAGCTAATAATCGCCTTTCTGAAATGTAAACGTTTTTTACCCACAAGTCATATTGGATAGCTAGCACATAAACAATAAATAAACAATCTATCAATAAAATTTTAGCGTCGCAAGTTCCCATCATCAGTTGCAGCTCACAAAATAAATTATTGTATTGTCGTTTATAAATAAGCTGATTAATCACCAGCATATCAGGACACTATTTTCCTGACCATCCTATGCAGAAAATTCTAGCTCTCAACCCATGAATTCGACAATTATTTGCCTACAATGTGGATAGTCTGACCACGGGCATGTACAATAACTTCTTAAGTTTGTTTATGGTCTTTGTCTATAAGGAAATGACATAATTTCAATCGGTCGATCTCGAATTCTGCAAAGTGGCGTCTGGTTCTCATTTACCTTCTGGCGTGTCCATGTCTAGTCGCTTGCACATTATCGCGCAATTGCGAATTTGAATACGTGTACGCCATGATTACAGGACCTTGAGCATCAATGATATTAAAGACTTTACTTTTATGACTAAGCCTTGCGCATTGCTGATTCATAATTCTTCACCACTAGCGATATCAGCAAAAATTGACGTCTTTGAACCGAATCGTTGTTCGCTCGATCGTTATAGTCTGTCGTAGATTCACGCAATGAAAGTCGACATTTGATGTGCAAACTGGACATGCTTCGACTCATAAAGACGTTTTTCGAAAGAAAGAAAGAAACTACCGAATGAAGGGATCACTCATTATTCATTTGAACGCCTCAGTGCAAGATCTCCAATTATCTATCTACCATGAAGCTTCTTTCTACTGCACTCTCCACCTTCCCACTACTGATACTCACGATTGAGGGGTCTCACATGTTCCATCAAGCTGATGAGGGTCAGCAGACGGAGCCATCAGTGCTACAACAGGCTGATTCGTTGCTTGATACAGTGGAACAGACACAACCAGTGCTGCAATCGTTATTGTCTTCAGACGATAGCTGTAATCTAACGGGCACTTACAAGAAGGGCACAGATATCTCGTCATGTAGCACAATCATTGTCGATTCGCTGACAGTACCAGCTGGTGTAACGCTGGATCTGAGCGCGGCCAAGAAAGGTGCTGTCATTCAGTTTGTTGGCACTACTACGTTTGGCACTATGAAGTGGGACGGACCTCTTGTGCGCGTCAGTGGAAGCGATTTGAAAGTAAAAGGATCAGGTGTTCTTGATGGTCGAGGGAAATATTACTGGGAACAGGGCCAAGGAATCACCCGCCCCGTTTTCTTCAAATTGCAAAATGTCATAAACTCTGTAGTTTCTGACTTCACCATTCTGAATATGCCATACCGAACTTTTAGCCTTGTCACCTGCAAGAACACGACACTAACTGGCATCACTATTGACTCTAGAGCTGGCGATGGTCTAGCAAAGAACACGGACGGTTTTGACCTGACCAAAAACGACCATATCACGATTACAAATTGTACAATCTACAACCAGGATGACTGTCTGGCCATGCAATCCAGTACGAACACAGTCTTCATCAACAACTACTGCTGTGGGGGTCATGGTATATCACTTGGATCGATTGGTGGTATGATGATTGATGAGTCCACTACGGTGACAGGTCTTTTGGTACAAGGCAACACGATTGAGAAGAGTGAAAACGGCATACGTATCAAGGCCATCATCGGACTTAAGGGTTTCGTCTCGGACGTGAATTACGTGGACAACAAGGTGTTGAATGTGGAAAATGCTGTCGTCATACACTCGGACTACAGCAAGGATAGAGGCCGCTACTCAGGCGCACCTACCAGTCTCGTTACCATCAAAGATATTGTGATCTCAGGTCTTACGGGTACAGCTACAACTTTGTACGATATTGTCACCAACTCAAAAGTTGTGTCGGACTGGGATTTTTCGGGTTTGTCTGTGAGCGCTTCCGAAAAAGGCACCGTTTCTGGTCTACCCTCTGGTATTTCTCTATAAAAGTCGCATCGTGTTTTTTGTTTGAATGTTACGTGATCAGTAAGTAGATCAAGCCATTGCGGCTTATTAAATGTGCATTGTTTTTAAAATGAAACTTCTTTGTTGAACTAGTAAGATCATAGCAATCTTGTCGAAAGAGCTTCCTCTATTGAGTTTTGCGTAATATATTACAACTACATCTAAAGAAAGATTGCAATCAATAGTGGGCAATGCAAGGCAATTTTCGAACTGATATCCTCCATGCACCTTTGCTCAAATTTTATTAGCAGCGCGCACGACCATTTCAACCAGCTCTGGCCGACTTTCTAGCAATTCACACGCTTCTTCGAAAGTAACCTGGTACACATGACCTTACTGTAAAAACTAATGGCTATACCATCATTTTGATGCAAAATGTCATTATCTGACGTACCCATTTACGCTGACGAGTGCTTTCGGCCCAATGTTCAAAGACCTGCGTAACCTCGAGTTGAAAGCCAAAAAAGCGACATGGCTTACCACGATGGCTGTAAAAGTTCAACGTGCCCAATGAGGCCACGATTTCGCCCGTTACCTGTATCAATTCTTTAATCACTAATAAAACTTTATGATATTTTGCAACGTGAGCTTACCCCAGCTTCCTCATTGGCTTCGCGCAGTGCACTCTCTATAACAGTCTCGTCGTTTTCCCAACCGCCCTTTGGAATGATCCATTGTGTTTGGTGCTTAAAGCTCGAAATGAGTAAAATCTCATAACTGGCATCAATTTTGCGACGCGAGACCACAATGCAGACTAATAGGCGCGTAAGATCGTCATAGCGCTGCCTCTCACGACCGACACGAGACTTGAGCAAGCGGGTCGAGAGAACCATGCGCCTGTCGTCGGGCAAGTCTTTGCACGTGCTTGTGGAGTTGTGACTGTCATGCCCCAAGGAGATACCTGAGGTGTGACCACTATTTTTTGTCATTACTTTAAGGTATTGTGTTGTTCAGACTGGTCCATGTACAAATTATAACCTTATTAAAAAAATCGGCCTTAAACCTTTGTACCAACCATACCAACATACGCTCCACGGCCATTGGAAACGCAGCTCAATCACTTTTCCAAATTTAGACTCAAAAGCTATAAAGGAGTTCTATGAACACTCGGATCTGCACAATCTCATCATTTTCATATGTAGTAAATTCGCACTGTCGCTTGGTCATTAAAGGATGATGTAGGTACGTATCCGATCGATGCATAAGTTTCTCACTTGATTGGAGTTTCGATGACAGTTTCATAAGTATGTTCCCTTGAATCGAAAACTCTAATCAATCGAAGAAAAACTACTTAGCACGTTCTCGGCTACATTTGTCTCGTACACAAATATAGCGACCTAAATGATGGCATTTAGCAAGACAATTAAGATGACTTTATTAATCCAAACTATCGAAAAACAACATATATATGATGTTTTTGGGAAAGAAAAAATCAAGATTCAGTCTATAGATTAGCAGATGAGTAGATAAAGCCTTTGCGATCACTTCGTCTGTCTTAGCTTTTGCTGCCTCTATCTTGTTATTCAGCTACTTCCATTCTTTACAAAGTCCAGAGCATCACATCCTTCATCTTCAATGTGATTTTTAGCAAATTGCAGCTTCTATTCACGTCCATCGTCCACCGTCTTATCTGTGCAAACTTTCCTAGTGTAGATGAGCTACTCCTTTCACGTTAATTTTTGTGGAGTGCAGCAAGAATTGCGATATGCAATGGAACTTGGCATTCTCTCTCGTAGAGCCACGTGAAGAGAAGCTGTTGCTGTTCTATCGTCTTCATCGATGTGTGGGCTTCTGGACGATGTACCACGGGGTCAGCTGAACGTGGTATAAAGGAGAGATTTTTGGATACAGAATGAGTATCATCTAAGAAAGAATATGCTAGTCAAGTTCAAGCGATGACCATGGAGTTCATGTCTTGAGTATATTCTTGTCGCCTTATCAACCTAATGACAAAGTCTGATCACGAGCTAAGTTACATTTGCAAAAAGCTCGAATTTTGGTCGCAACCTGTCGAGACACAGTTGATCTGGATATTAAAACGAATATGACTTTGTAGGCCATCAAGGTAACTTGTTCTTCGAGCAATACTTTTATAATTTTAAATGATTGGTTAAGTTCGGTGTCATTATCGTTACCAAAGTGTCTTGAGAGTTTACTTATCATCGTGAGCGGTTAAGTGATGGATTGGAATCTCCCTTGGAAAATGTAAATATCATCACACTAGTAAGAAACTTAAGGTAAGCGTAAATTTATCCACTATGTCGTGCTGATGGGTGGGAAAGACTCTGTGCCACTCCTTGGAGCGAGCTCACTCAAATATACAGCACCCTTTAAAGTGTCAGCGCTCGTCTCGTTGTCTTGGTAGAATTGGAATAAGCATTGCGAATTGTATGTGGGAAGCACTTTACATTTACTATTGTGCAGGGAAGTTTCTTTTCCTCAGTTATCTTCTGGCATTTCGAGCTTTAGGGTTATGATCACAATTAAACCTGCGGAGATCCAGGATTCATGCTCAACGGGAGAGTCGATCAAGACATGCCATGACTTCAAAGCGTGGAAGTTGGTATGAGATATCGATCAGTCGTTAATGGCGGCAAATTGATACCTTGCGAGAGTGTTTATCCCAAGAATAAAAGTGAAGTCCTCACATCCGCGTGGAGACAAAACCAATTATCACGAAAGTGATTACCCGTCTTTGCATCTGCGTAGAGACTAAACGAATACTGAGAAAGCAATAACTTCACATAAAAATCTCTAGACTCGTGTGAACAAATAATCAAGGTAATTTAATCGTCGGCTGTAGGATGAAGACTGAAAAGTCGCAACGTGCGGCGAGTCGTAAAGGTGGTCGTCATAGATAATTAACTTTACAATCCATGAACCAAAGTGATGCGTCCAGATAATGAAATCGCAATGGCGTTTGTGAGTGGAACATAAGCTGCGAGAATCACTTTAAGAGTCTAGAGCTAAATGAAAGTCAGCCACAACGAATGAAGCCAAAAGTAATACAATCCACAGTGAACAAGTGAAAGTGATCTTCGATGGAGTGACGATTCCGCTCATGCTTATAAGAATCAAGCTTGAGCTATTCATTGATGTGAGTTTAAAGTCTGTAAGCGCGTCTTGACCCGGTGGCGTGGGTCAGGTGGTCAATGCTTCTGAGCCTCACGGTGTGTGGTGCGGGTTCGAGCCCCTCAGCGGACAAAATCGTAATTGAATCAGACATGCAAGAAAGTCGGTTGCATGCTATATATTACCGACAACAGCGAAAAGTGGACTTCCGGATGGCGACTCGTACAAGAATGAATCAAGAAAAAATACCCCAGTCGAAGGAAGCAATGTAATATATTAGTCAGGGCCGGGGGGGGGTATAGCCGTGTAATAAGATAATACATAGCAACTTTCAACTGAGCGCGTTTGAACTAACAACTCGCTGTATATATAATCATATCATTGTCAGGCACTATCGAAAACGCCTTAAGATCGAATACAAGGCGCGTTACAAATTGCCTTGTTACGATCAATCCCAAATGTCCGAAAATTACCACTCCGAATAATGTTAAATAGTCGAATAGGTAGTTCAATATTAAAGTCGTGTTGGCGATAAATGAGAGCAGTTAGGTAGAGCAATAAGGCGTGTTCCTATTGTATAGATGTATCAGAGATCAATTAAAATGATAGCGAAAAAAATTAGTTTTGGCTGTGTAATACTCACATGGTATTGCTATGGAGTTTTTGGCGTAGAACAACCATCATTGCAGTAAAAAAAATCAGAGGATACAAAACTAATATTACGTTGAAGTCTTCGTCCCGTAGAGAAGTGATTAGTAGGTGTAGAGAGTTCACGTAATTGCAATGACTGCAACGGTTCTTGCGGGGGTGGAATTGACACCACCAGACGGCAAATTAAAGTGTTTGTGGCGTTAAAAATGTCTTGCCCATCGAACTTCTCACGGACAACAGATCCATTTCTTCGGGGGGACGATAGTGAATTTGGTCTAGTGTCTTGGCACATTTATTCGTTGGAATATTGTCTTTCTTAATCGAGTTTGTGAACGCGTGGTCTTGATAGAGGTGCCCTGATAGCGCAATACGCAGTCAGGAACAGACCCAAAATACAAATTAGACACTCGAAATATACCAGAATGAATCAAACATTGACATGCTTTTCGATGAAGCCTTTCTCTCAAAAGCAAAACGGAAAATGATTCATCATGGTGACCAGATCGGCTTGGTCAACACCGGGTTTATGCTCATGCTTTTAGGCAAGAAACGCGTGTTTTATAGTGTAAGTGCTTGATAAGGGCCTTCTTTCAGCAAGCAGTAATTGTAGCGGGCTGAAGGGATAGAAAGAAGAAATACCTGGACCTTGAGCGCACAATCGAGGGCAGCTTGAGCTAGAGTAGTGGGTAGGAAGTCCAGCTTATCTCTACATTTTTGAATGAGATGACAAATCAATTTGACTTGAAGGAGTTCAAATTTGTCAGCAACAGTGTGAGAATTTAAATCTTTAGCATCTAATGGAACAATGCCATTTTTTGGGAATCTGGCCTCTATCTGTTAAGCCGTATATTGACGATGATGGAATGCTGTTGGCTAAATCTATCATTTGAAAAATGAAAAGTTTTGATTTTTCCTTGGAAACCACCTTGACGCTAAAAAAATCACAAGAGCTAAACATTTATATCTGCCTTCAAATCAAAAAGTTATTAAGAATTTATCAAATTAAGATCTTCTCGCAACTATCATGTCCAAACGCGGTGTTCTCTTCCTTCTCGAGAGCGTAATTGTTGTGGTGAAACGACGCAGGCCAAGATGCTTTATACTGTGCTAAATACCAAATCATCTTCTTCATCTGCTACTCTATTGCCGTAGCACAGTCATGCTTCCGGTGAGTATTTTCAATAAGATACTAAGCAAGGAATAGAGTAAGTTTCAGCCCACTTTATCCCTATTTGAGTTATCAGGAGCGGTAAAGATTACCTTCGTAATAAAGGACATCTGGACAGATGCGGCTCGGGATGAGACCTTTCACGTTCATCCTAACTTTTCGGAGGAGCGGTGGGTGTTAATCTAAAGCAAGTTACAAATTTCGTGCGGCGAAGGCGTGCGGAGGTACTGGTTTCGATAACTCTACGTATGCACCAGAGGCGATGGATCTCAGTCTTGCTGTGATGGAAGAGAGATAGATCTTGACCGCTGAGCAGCTTCACGATGATGAGTCACCAATGAAAGCTCAAAATATCTACGCTTTGTGTGCTTTCTTTGCGTTCAGCAGAGAAGTACAAAGGGTCGGCCTGCTACGCAAGGGTGGCAGACGATCATCGTGGAGCAACATCGGTTTCCAGCCAGTGCAGAGCGGCCTACTGGGAAAAACTGGGTGCTATCATACCCGGTGGATGTCGTTCTTAGTGATATCCGGCCCCGAAAGATGCACTTTTGCCAAGAGGGTGAGGCAAGCAGCCAAGGTTGTTAGCTATAAACATAAAAGGCCTTGAGCTTGTGAAACTGTGAATAACCTGATAAATTCAGGAGCGTTGAACAATTTTCGCACAACTGTCAAAATTAGTATACATGATGCAAAGGCATCGAGGATATTAGATACAGAGATGGTATCGGTGGGTCTCTTAGTGAGGGCACTATCCCAGTTACGCTGAACCTCCAAGAGAAGCTGAAACGTTATCTCTTAGTCAGTAAGGCGTAGCCAGAACGAATTGTCCATTGATTGAAAGTCGAAAAAGGCAAGTGAGACATCCTTCTATTTTGGTGGAGCTTCGGTGAGTCATGAGCTCTTATTTGCCAAGAAAGCAAGACGCGGTTTTGGTGTGGACATGGAGCCGCGACAGCTTCGATGCAAAACATGGGCTTGTTTGATTTGACAAAAATGAACTTGCCTAGAGATGAGCTCGAAAGGCTGACGCGGTAGTGCTCGGGATGGAACATAACAGAGCGATCGTACATCAACTTATATATATTAATCTCTGATGAGACAAAATCCCCGAATCGCATTTCTGGCGAGACGGTAAGGAACAGCTGCGAGCTGTTGTCTGCTGTGCCAGAGTCAGTAAAGAGTTGAAGCGACAGTTGACTTCCGCGCTAGAGCTGGTATCGTCGAAAAAAGACTGTCAGCCGCGAGTAGAAGGACCAGACCCTAGAATTAAGATAGATGATTTATTTTGTCGCGATATAACGGCTTTGTTATGTTAGCACTATCGTGTGGCGAGCTATTCGTGCGGTGCGATGAAGGTCTACGAGTAAGTGGCGACAAAGAATATTCACTTAGTTACTGAGTATCCGAAGTTGACCTAAGAGCTATTAGTTTCTTTTCGCAATAGTCGGCAGATGCACTTCATTGGACCAAAGCGTTTTACCACGCCAGCATCCAGGTCAAAAAAGAGCATCTGCCGGATATTTCTATAACTCTGACCCCGCACACTTGGGCCGTGATGTCGTGACAGAGATGAGTCATCCTTTTATCTCTAGAGGCTGGTTGTTCAACTTTTGACTCTCATTCGCTCCTCAGCCCCAACGGCTCCATCATAGAAGACACCATCTTACAGTGAATATTAACCGTTCCGCCAAAAAATCCCTATGGCCATGACGTACCGTCGCTCATCCCTGTCTTCTGAAATATAAACTCTGCAGGCCACGATATTGTTAAAAACGACGCCTCGAACAGCGATAATATACCGGCAAGATACCAGTAGGAAAGCAAACGACAGACTTCCTCGTGTAATAATACGACAGGGTATTCACTTACAGGCTTGGAGGTGGTAAGCAATTGGGAATGATTAATGCGCCTTGCTGTTTGCCTTATACCGTTCAAGCGGCCTATTTAACAGGTGATGAACCCGAGCCCCACAATTCTTGCCTTTAATAACGACCTGATCCTTGTTATGGACCCCTTGCTCCCAGATTAAATCCATCATGTACGACGTCACCGCCGTGACATGAGCAAGCTCATAATCCGGTCTGCGTGACAGCGCACCAGCCAAAGCATTCTGCCTTCCTGGCTAATATTTAACCTCGAAGTTATATTTTGCAAAGATTGAGAGCCACCTGGTCATCCTCTGCGAGATGTGAGGCGACTGAGTCGCAGTGCGTAATGACGCATGACCTGTGTAGACGACAAACGGCTTTGAGCCAAGCAGGAAAACTCTGAACTTGACAAGTGTATTCTTCGCCGCAAGTAATTCCTTGTCATGGAGTGGATAGTTCCTCTCCGCAGTCTAAAGCTGGCGAGATTCGAACGCGATCACCCGATCTCGCCCCTCGGAGTCTGCTTGCAGCAGTGCAC